TGAAGATATGAAGGAGGTAGACATTACACAGCGGTGTGCACATCTGGAGGAAGTGTGAGCTGATGGTCCCGAGGACCTGGTGTGGGGATTAAAGGTGAAGCATAAGCCCGGTTTGTCTTAGTCTTGGAGGCTCGGTCTGCGAGACTGCAGTGGTGTTGCTTGGCAGGAAGGCTGGGGCCCTGCAGGCATCGCCCAGAGCTGAGATGCATGCACTCCCAGGCCCCAAACCCTCTGCTATAGCTGAGGGCAGTAACAGTGACTAATGAGCCTGTGATGAGAGAGCAGCCTGCACTGGCCTTAGGGCCTGGTGTCCACACTAAACTGGGGAGCCCTGGAGGAGGTTGAGGGTGGGGAAGATGTGTAAGGAGTAAGAGTGCAGGATCGCAGAGAGACAGCTTTGGTTTCAGGTTTCTCAATTTTGGGAGTTTAAAAATGGCTGCAGAGTAAGGGGATGCTACACAGACACACTCCCAGGACCAAACTGGAATTACAAGTAACATGCAAAAAAAAAAAAAAAAAATTCTGAATAATCATGTCTCCATCCTGACAGGTTGGCGTGACCTTTGAGGACATTGCCCTGTACTTCTCCAGGGAGGAATGGAGCCTCCTTGATGAGGGTCAGAGACAGCTGTACCTGAATGTGATGCTGGAAAACTTTGAACTTGTATCCTCCCTGGGTAAGACCCTCACTCTCACCAGTGACCTGGACTTGGCTTAACATATCCTCATGCCCCTTTTTCCAGGATGTGCTCTGTCCTCACTGCTTGTCTTTCCAGTTTTTTGGGCCCTTGCTGATCTTGGTAGGTCTGGTTTGTTTGCTTTGGCCTCTAATTTTTCTGCAATCACTGCACCTCCTGTACTGAACTCCTAGGCAGGGATTTGTGGTTGGTATTGTGGCCGGGAGCCTAATGGATTCCACCTTGATTAGTGAGGAAAAGCATTCTTTATATTCCTGTTAGTCGGCTGTACATATTTTGTGGAAAATTGCCTCTATATCCTTAGCCTGTTTTTTAACCATATTTTTTGGCTAATGTTTCTTTTGAATACCTTTTATATTTTAGATATTAATTTTTTTTAAAATATATTTTATTGATTTTTTACAGAGAGGAAGGGAGAGGGATAGAGAGCTAGAAACATCAGTGAGAGAAACATCGATCA